TATATATATATATATATATATATATATATATATATATATATATAATTAAAACGGAACAGTAGAGAAAATCCGATCAGAATGACAAAATAAACAACTAAGTATCCACTGGAAGGAATCCCAATATCTGCAGACGGATCCGATTCGGCCTTCCAGGACTCATCAGTGCAGCTGGGGTATAGACCCAAAAGAAACGTTTGACCAGCTTAGGAAGGGCCCAAACCAGTCCCACTACCACTAATGATTACAGAGCCAAACCATATATATATATATATATATATATATATATATATATATATAATGTCTCTTTCAATGTCCTATCAGAGAGGTATTCGACTAACTATTTTTTACAGTTTATTATAATATAGTCATATATAATACAGTAGTTTATACCATTATGCTTGTGTGTGTATATTTTTTGCAAATATCTTTATTTTTTGTAAATTTATTTCATGCAGAGGATCCTACAGGACAAAATATATGTTATTAAATAATTAAATATATGTTTGTTTTTTTGGTTTTTTTTTCTGCAACATATCAGTCTCTGTCAATGATTTTGATTTCTTTGTATGCTTACTGTATTTGGAAAAACCTGCTCATCATTAACTTAATATCAACTCTAATAAACATTCATCAAAAAACTTGTTTTTGCTTTTGCCATATACAAATATACATATATGCTGGGGTGAAGTCACCAAAGCGACTTACATATAGCAAGTCCAGACATAAAAAATAGTTGAGCATACTGTAAGCCAATTATTACTGAGTTTAGATTTAGAATAAAGGAACAATGATATAAAGATTATAAGACAAAGGCTTTCAACGGAAAAATTTTAATCCATTGATTGAAAAAGGTGACTCTGGCAGGATTGGAACATTCCGCTAAGCCACGCCTATTGGATATTGTTTCTAAGGTCCCACAAGACGACAGTGTTATGGTTAAAACCACTGATCTCTACTACAGGTATAGCTGGATTGCTCATCGGCCAATCCTTGTATAGAAAAAAAAGAGACCACCGACGCCATGTTGGAGGGCTTAAATGACGTACCAGCTTAGACAAGTTTCTTTTGGCATTTGTTAAATAAATTATTGTTGAAAATAACGATTCTTGCAATCCTTTTCAATTAGATTTTTTTCAAATCATTTAACCACTCGACACGACTGTTTATACAGTTTACAAAAGCGCGAGCGAAGTCGCGTTGTTTAGTGAGGTCGTCCACAAACAACGCAAATAACTTCGATTGCAAACTGCATAAACAGTCAAAATGATGTGAAAAAATAATCATTAGGTTAAATTTTAATTTAGAATTAAAAAGTATTGCAAGAATCGTTATTTTTAACAATACTGTAATTTAAACTGATACGTCTCATAGGCGATCTAACATGGAGGTTGATTTTTAGGTCGATTTATAAGGCGAAAATACACAATGTCTCTAAGCACCAAAAAAAAAGTAAATAAATAAATAAATAATAATAATAATAATGACATTGTATAGCGTTCGTTAACAATGTTTGTCACTTGAAGCAGACACAACCTGGGGGAGGGGAGGCCCCAGTGGAAAAAATGGAGGGCAAATGGCCCCTGCCCCTCCCCCAGCGTCCGTCGCCGTTGACTGTTCAACTTATTCCTAGACCTTCGTTAATGTCAATAATATTTCGTGTATTACCTGAGCAGACTTAACTACAAGAGTGACGACTATTGTTAAAGCCAAACGCACACAATATCTGGCGGTCGCTTAACAATAGGTTGTATACGATCCTATTCAATTAAGCGACTATGTCGTCACTCTGAAGAGGATGTTATTCGTGGAATGAACATCGAAACTGTCAGTAAAGGTAAATTAATTGGTTTCTTAAAGCAGAGCATTTCTCACATCGTATCTACAATAAAAAAACCAGATGAATATTTACAACCATACTAGTGTTATTATGTACCGTACGGCTACTAAAACCTATCCTAGACATACAGTAGCCTTGGTAAATACTGAAGAAGCAGTTCTTTTCTATACCATAGAGAACTATATTCTCTATATCTATACCAAGTAAATTTATGAAGCTATGTTCTTGAGAAAGCCATTATTATTATTATTACATTACATTATATGCAATTTGATAATACAGTCTGTTTTTTAAATGAATATATGTTGAAATTTGATATGTTGTTAATTTTAGGCCATTTGTCATGACACCTTACCAAGCCATTGTTTCAGAATGCTAATAATGAATATTCAGAGCTTACTATGATACTAATTACAGTAGGCTCTTTAGATAAGGAACTGTTCCTAAACAGACATTTTGTTTCTGTTAAGCTGCTTGATGTATTGCTTTATGCCAATGAAGGGCCTTATGTATAATCTGTATCTAATTATTGTACATATAGACTTATAGCTATTAATATTGTAGGATCTACGTGTGTTTGGAATAGTCTTCTCGTAAATTAAAATATCTGCTTTTTGTATTAGAATTGATCTAGTGACAGTGGAGGTGACTGGAATTTCAGGACATTGTAAATGAGACGGATGGCTAAATTCGTACTGAGGATCATATACTGTTCAGGTTCGATAGCTGCTGGAATTATTCTGTTTGTGTGTCTGGCTTCAAAATGTAAGGTACGTGGTGTACTGTAGGCAGAGTAGTCAGAATTTAAAAAAAGAAAGAAAATTTTTACTCGAACTATGACTTCCTATGCTTGTAAAACTGTTTCTTACTAATAGGCCTACTAATGTTTTAGGTGAGTGCCGTAAGCAACATTCTGCTCATTGGCTACCACAAGCAGTGGATTTAAGATATCCTGCCCGCGGATACCACGCCATGCCTTCACCAGGATTCGAACCCACGACCATCTGGTTAAGAGTCAAGTTCAAGTTTAGTAAATCGCATTTGCACTTCCTTGAGAAGCTGAATTGTATTGATTTGTACAGTACATTAATATAAAACACGTCTCTTATACACATCTAGATGTGTATAAGAGACAGGTACATATACAGTGTTTAATATAAGGACATGATTGTTCCATCATGTCTTTATTAAACACTATATGTACCTTTGATGATTTATATTATATATATATATATATATACATAT